CTGCTGAATTAAATATAGATTCCTTACCCTCAAGGGGAAATATAAAAGATTAGTTGAGAAAGTGCACATAAAACATTTAGCACAATGTTTGCATATAGAAAGAGCTCAATACACATTTTATAATTACAATTCAGTGCTCTTCACAATGTGATCTATACTTACTCTTCCAGCACACATTCCAAGGTCCTTCAACTCTATATTCTAAAGGGACACGTGAGCACATGTGTACTTTTCTGCTGAAGTGCTTTTATTCACATTGTTTTCCTTTCCTGTCATTGTTTATCCCTGCTTTTGAAATCCTTTCAATTGTAGATTTTTCTGAAAGGCCATCTTCATGAAGATTTTCCCGATTCAAGATTTATTGGTGCAAGTTGATAGAATTATCTCCTACTATTGTCCCATAACACCTCATTTATAATTCTCACATAAAAGCAGTGTGGACTACATGGGAATGTAATTATCTGGGTACTTAGTTCCTCTTCTCGGGATTATAGTCTCAGAGGACAGAACTTGCATCTAATTAATTCAGCATCTTTATAGAGCCTGACATAGTAAATTGCAAAATAGTTGTACTCAATATAGACTTGAAGTTAATTTCTATTATCTTTCTCTAAGTTTACTAGTATTAAGATGATATGAGTCTGCTATAAAAAGACCCCAAATTACTCTGGCTCAAATGAGACAGAAGTGAATAGGGAGGCATGGTGTCTGTGGAAGGTCTACCTCTCTGCACAGGTTGACCTAGGGACCAGGTTTCCCCTGTCCTTTTGTTCAACCATTTCCTTGGTTGCCACTTCATCTTCATGGTAGAGGCTAGTTTAACTGCTTTATGTTCTCAATACAGCCCCTGGAGAGAGGAAGAGGAAGCAGGAGGCAGGCAAGTTTCTTATAAGGAAGTACCACATAAGTTATGCAACAGATTTCATTCATATTCAAGTGATGGGAGTTTAGTCATATGGCCACGCTGAGCTGCAAGGGAGATTAGGACATAAAGTCTCTAGACAAGTGGGTAGTCCTATCTCCATATACTCAAGGCATTTCTATTTCTAAAACAAAGACTTGGAGAATAAAAGATGGGCAACAATTAGCAGTCTTTGCCACACCTCCTCATGAAATAATTTATGTTGTATTTTGTTTCTATTCTCAGTATCTTCTTATGACAAGACCACTTAGAGATGAAATCTTTTTGAATAAATGAATGTTTTGGTTAGCTGAGTGTGTATTAAGGCACTAAAATTTTTATTTGGTTCTTTTGAACAAAAATATTTCAAAATGTGTTGCATCTTTAATGAAATTATTGAGCCTATT